TTAAAATTTCAGTCCCCCCCCAGTCTTGATGTGCTTTTATATTTAACCTCTCTGGTTAGAAATACACTATTCCTGTGCTTTCCCCAAGCCCTGCTGACAACACATACACTAAAAAGGAGAAAAGAAAGAATATAGCTGTTTGGTTTTACACAAACAATGCTTCAGAATTAACAGAACTAGCCGCAATATATTTTAGAGCTATGAGGAAAATTACACTGAAATTGCATATAATTTAGCTATTTATACACACACACACACACACACACACACACACAAGATGCACTTCAGATTTAGAAGGCAGCTTTATGCCAATTCTGAAAACTAAAAACAAAACCAAATGAGAAAGTTGAAAACATTACATCTTCTCATTCTCTTAAGCTGTAGGAGTTAAGCAGAATTCTCTGAAGCTTGGTTAAAAAAAATGATGTCAAATGATGAAAAGCCGGTGACTGTTTCATTACAGGTTGTCACCCAAACCACATTATCACCTGGCAAGCAGCTTCCACCTCCCTGACCCCAGGAAGGCACTACCTTGAGCACCAAAGATGTGTCAGTAAAGGGGGATGCTGTCTCCACTCTGAGCCAAATACTATCATCTTACACTCCGAATGACTGTGCCCTGTATAAACCGAGTCACCGTCCGACTGCCTAGAAGGCCAGGGCTGGTCTATCAACCAGTGTATCTACATCAGGAGCTGTGTCCCCCAACTCATAAAAAGTTTGACATATAGTAGGCACTCAATAAGAACACCTGTGCAAAGTTTGGAGCTCTATGTCTGCATGAAAGAAAGAAGCAGTTAAGCAAGGGCAAGAGAGAAGACAGGAGGAAGAGAAGCAGGCAGGCCAACAGCAGAAACACAAAGGGCCTCTTGTCTTCCCGAAGCCCTGGGCACTGATAACTACACAGTTTCACCCAGGCGCCAAAAATGGCTTTTTAATAAGCAAACAGGGAAGCTGATCCTACACATGACCCACCTCTGAAAGCTTTCCATCTTTTAAGAGCTTCTGGTCAGCTCGGGAGAAGGAAAAGCCTAAGGCTGGCAACGGAGAGCTATACCCCAGTGCGGCAGCCACAGTGGGCTGCCCTCCCTCTACCTGTGTGTGGGGGTGAAAGGAAAAGACCAGATCCCAACAGAGCCAAGAGATGGCTGGGTCGTGTGGAAAACACACTCAAGCTAATAATCCAAAGACCAGGCCACACACAAAAAAACGCTGGGGTAGGGGAAACGTCATCTGATTATTTTCTTTTCTCTGAGCTGTATATTTCCAAGCAACCCATTTTTTTGAATGGGAAGGCCTACCATGTGTATGTGTGTGTGTGTGTGTTTATGGGTATATATGTATGTGTGTGCCTACTGTGCAAGCAGGAGTGGCAAGCCTAACCACAAAGAACACCACACACGATACATGACTTGACCTGCCCACTGACATCGGGGTAAAGCTTGACCACGAGCAGGACACACAGGGGATGGTGGCCCGATTATTAGCACATCGCCGGCAGCCAGGACTTTTAGCCTTTTGGTGCAGAGCAGGACCTAGACGTTCTATATCCGGCCGTGAGACCTGTCAAGGTGGCAGGTGTAAATCCTGGCCATCGTCACAAAGTTGCGAAGGGCAGAGGACACCTTCAGAGTTCCTCCTTCACACCTGCTCATGAGCTGGAAGGCTACGTGGTGAACTCATCTGCCTGCAAAATACGCTGGCTCATGTTAACAAGTAGCATTTAAAGTGATGATACTTTCGCCATCCCCAGGAGAAAGAACTATTCTAGAGGTCACTTCGCCAGCCTCCACAAGGGAAAGTTTTGACACCTGTGGAAGGTGGTATAAAACAGGGGTATGAGGTCCTGAGCTCCGAGAAGGAAAGGACATCATTTCCAATGGCTTTTGTGTACAATTTTCTGGTATGTGCACAACAGAGGAGGAAAGTAAAGGAGGGAAAGGAAGAGAAGGAAAAGAACACCATCGCTGCCCTAGATGCTGACAAAACACAGTGCCAAGCCCCCCAGGGGGCACGACCATCTGCATGCAGCTGACAGTGAGCAAAGGCCGGGCGCTTGAGGTGCTTGGTCTCCCTGGGGCTCCTGACGCTGCATGGGTGATGTTTCCAGCTGAAGATCAGTGCCCCAATCCTTACATTAGATAAAAGAAAATTGGAAATATAAAGTCTGAAGTTGATGATTTTCAATGTCTTTATTCTACCAGGCCCACAAAGTCCTTTTTCTTGTAGATACTCTTTCAAGAAGTTTGGAAGAGCCCATCCCCACAGGAGGCAGATGTATTCTCAGATGGGTTTCCTCCCAGGGAGTTCTCAAACAGCACCAAGTTAACTGCTAATGCCATATGAATCTTACCTAATCATTTGCCCCTTTTGTCACTAGTAAAGAGCATAAACTCAGAGTGACTGAGTGGGAGGCGGGGTGTAGGGTTGGGGAGGGAGGAGGGTGGGGAGCAAAATCATGACTCCAGGCCAAAGACAATACAAAAGGATTTTGAAATACAGAAAGGAAGTCTATCCTCTAGACTAGAGTTGCTCATACACTTCAGGGGGAAAGAAAAAAATCCTAATACGCATTAAATGAGAGAAACCCAGAAGGCAATGGTGTAAGAAAGCAATTCCAGAGCGGACTGCATAAATAGAAGTATTACATTATAAAACAGGGAACTGTTTGTTCCAGTCCATAGACTCCGGGTGAAATGGCAGCTGTACACTATTTAGTTTGGGGCACCTCATTAATAAAAAGGGAATTCTGAGTAGAGTTGAAAGAAAGAATTGAGGGGCAAAAGGGACCAGCTTTTAATGGAAGATTAAAACAATGATGTATATACAGAGGTGGCAAAAAAAAGCAACAACAACACAAAAACCCAGCCCTGAAACAAACGGGTCTGCGTATATCGGTAGAGGAAGTAAGATTCCGGTAAAGCGATTCAAGAGCAGGGTGCTGGGGATCGCAGGAGCATGGGGAGTGGGGACCCCTAGAGCCAGACTGCCTGACAAAGTCTTCAGGCCCCACTGACCATGTGGGAGCCGGGCCGAGGCCCTCACTCCTGCGCGCACCCCCAAACAGAGGGGCCTGGAGATGAAGCCCTTTGCATTTAACTAAAGAGGCATCTGAAACCACATGGGAAGGGACAGTCTTGCTGCGACCCAGAGATGACAAAAATTACCCTGGACCCTGAAGAAATGACCACGCTACCTGCCGGGTGGAGTGGCCCCCCACCGCCACGCTCCCGCGGGGAGGATGGGTATGCAGATGTGGGGACATCCTGCCTTTCGAGAGCCCGGTTTTGTTCATACGGGGAAAGAGAGCAGAGGAGCAGCCAGGCAGTCCGCAGGGTAAAAGGTGGACAGAGGGGTTTCCTCCAGGAGGAAATGAAGTGACAGGAAAACTGATGTAGCAGGGCCTTCGGAGATTAGGAAATGTCTACTCTGGCAGAGGGTGGCCGTGAATTAATCATAGGTACCTAGAAAACCAGGGAAAATAAAAGTTGTACAAGAAGGTAAATGAAATTATAAAACTCTACATGGCTCAGCTGTGATTAATATTTATAGTTAGAATAATGAAAACACTGAATATTAATAGAACCCCCAATTATTATTTAATCATAATGGAGGGTTGAGGGAGGGGAAGACTGAATGTGCAAGGGGATCGGCAGGCAGCAGGGGCAGAGGTTGGGGAGGGAACAGGGTGCGTGCGTGCATGTGTGTGTGTGTGTGTCTGCCTGTCTCTGAGTTTGTGGATGGGGTGTATGTGAGTGGGTACAGGTACGTGGCTTTGCAGAATGACAAACTGGTGAAATCTCACCTTCCAGAGGAGAAAGCCAATAGATAATATCTAAAACTAAAAAAAAAATAAAAAAAAAAAATAAAAAACTGTTAGTAGAAACAATAAGACACATGGAAATTAGTAACGAGAGAAACAACTAAAAGTTCAAAGCCATTGTTCTAAAAAAAAAAAATAAAAAACTGTTAGTAGAAACAATAAGACACATGGAAATTAGTAACGAGAGAAACAACTAAAAGTTCAAAGCCATTGTTCTGGGGGATGAGATGGGGAAAGGTCATGCCATTTTTCACAGGTTGATACAACTTGTTGCCTTTAAAAACTGTAAAAATGCGAAATTTGATAACATTTAGATTGAATATCCCACAGGGCTCAGTGGCTGAGGGCTCGGCAGGTGACGCATAGATGAGGAATGGTCCCTGGTCTCCTGCTTGACCAGGTCACTCAATAACGTGCAATCAGGACGGAGAAGTCTGGAGGGGCGGTGGTGAGCTCGGCGATAGGCAGCAGCACCAATGGCACTTCCAGGGAGCTGTCTGAAGCACATTTGGGAGAGCTGGGGGGGTGGGGGGGGATCAAGCTTGGGGAGGCTGGGAGCTCAGGGCAGGGCTTCACACCCAGGGGACGCCGGCATACGGGGCAGGCTGGGATGGCGAGCCAGAGCCAGGCAGGGAGGACTGGCTAGAGAGGCAGGAAGACACAGGCGAAGCCTGTGCCCCCCTGTCCTCCTCCCAGAGGCCCAGGAAAGGGAGCTTCAGAGGGGACCGGGCAACAATTTCAGAGAGCACAGGAAGAATAAGGCCTCTGGGTGGGGTGGATCCAAGATCAACGTGGCCTGTGAGGCCAGTTTGATGACAGGAGGAGAGGCTATCGGACGCTGGGGCGCAGATTGGAGATGACCAGTCCAGACTGTTCTTCCGAGCACCCTGAGATTGTGTTGTAGAGAGGGGGGCAGGACACAGGACTAAGGGGGAGCTTTGGCTTTATCGTTCCTAAAGAGGCAAGTGACTGTCCTGTGCTTCCAAGTTGAGAGAAAGGGACTGGAAAGCTGAAAAAACAGGAGATGGGGTGGTTTTACCAAGAGGTAGGAAGGGGCGTCCTCAAGAGGAGGAGGAAAGGTATGGAAAGGGGTGACCTGCAAGGCCAGCAGCAGACATGAGGACCGGCTGCACCTCTGAAGCCCTGAGGTCAACCTCCAGGCCCATGAGACACTCACCCGGGTCGGCGGAGGGGCACCTGCGGATGGTGAAGATCTGCCCCAGGTCCTCGTCCTCCTCGGGAAGGCCCTTCTGCAGCCGCTGCAGCTTGCGCAGGCTCTCGCTGCGCTGGTGCTTCATGGAGCGCACGTGCTGGATGAGGTTCAGCTTGGCCTTGGTGGAGTAGCTGCACAGGGCGCAGTGGTAGTAGCAGCCCTCACCCTCCACGCCACTCTCGTGCTGCTGCAGGTGCTGTGGGGGCAGAGGAGAGGGACACGCCTGGGGTAAGCCACTCGAAGCCCTCGGCCACCAGGAGCCCGCCCTGTCCTGTGCAGCCTGGCGCTGGGGTCCTTAGAGGGGGGCTTCGTTTACCCCCGCGCCCTTCTCCAGCAGCTCTCTGACGACCGGCAGCAAGCTGACCGTCGCTCCCACGCCCCCCAGACACCCCCTTCCCCTGTGGCTTTTCCCGGGGCTGATAATGATGCGATGGACCGGACCCTCCCAGTGGAACACCAGTTTTCCTGCCACCATATCTAAAGGTCCCTCCTTTCCCTCTCTGAAGTGCCCTGCTTTTATTTAGATCAGGGATTTGAATAAGGCCTCTGGGTGGGGTGGATCCAAGATCAACGTGGCCTGTGAGGCCAGTTTGATGACAGGAGGAGAGGCTATCGGACGCTGGGGCGCAGATTGGAGATGACCAGTCCAGACTGTTCTTCTGAGCACCCTGAGATTGTGTTGTAGAGAGGGGGGCAGGACACAGGACTAAGGGGGAGCTTTGGCTTTATCGTTCCTAAAGAGGCAAGTGACTGTCCTGTGCTTCCAAGTTGAGAGAAAGGGACTGGAAAGCTGAAAAAACAGGAGATGGGGTGGTTTTACCAAGAGGTAGGAAGGGGCGTCCTCAAGAGGAGGAGGAAAGGTATGGAAAGGGGTGACCTGCAAGGCCAGCAGCAGACATGAGGACCGGCTGCACCTCTGAAGCCCTGAGGTCAACCTCCAGGCCCATGAGACACTCACCCGGGTCGGCGGAGGGGCACCTGCGGATGGTGAAGATCTGCCCCAGGTCCTCGTCCTCCTCGGGAAGGCCCTTCTGCAGCCGCTGCAGCTTGCGCAGGCTCTCGCTGCGCTGGTGCTTCATGGAGCGCACGTGCTGGATGAGGTTCAGCTTGGCCTTGGTGGAGTAGCTGCACAGGGCGCAGTGGTAGTAGCAGCCCTCACCCTCCACGCCACTCTCGTGCTGCTGCAGGTGCTGTGGGGGCAGAGGAGAGGGACACGCCTGGGGTAAGCCACTCGAAGCCCTCGGCCACCAGGAGCCCGCCCTGTCCTGTGCAGCCTGGCGCTGGGGTCCTTAGAGGGGGGCTTCGTTTACCCCCGCGCCCTTCTCCAGCAGCTCTCTGACGACCGGCAGCAAGCTGACCGTCGCTCCCACGTCCCCCAGACACCCCCTTCCCCTGTGGCTTTTCCCGGGGCTGATAATGATGCGATGGACCGGACCCTCCCAGTGGAACACCAGTTTTCCTGCCACCATATCTAAAGGTCCCTCCTTTCCCTCTCTGAAGTGCCCTGCTTTTATTTAGATCAGGGATTGGCAACTATGGCCTACAGACCAACTTCAACCTGCTGCCTGTTTTTATAAGTCAAGTGTGAATGGAACACAGCCACGCCCATGAGTCAGTGCATTGTCTATGGCTGCTTTCAAAACACCAGAGTTGAACAACTGCAACTGAGATTATGGTCTGCGGAGCCTCAAATATTACTATCCGCCCCTTTACCAAAAGGGTTAGCCAACTCCCGCCTTGGGTGACAGCCTTTATGGTCACCCGACTTACATAGAATCCTAGGTCAGTAACACACAGCCAAAGCTGCTGTCTTTTTCCTAAGAATGGCTTTTTCATAGGAATGACAAGCCAAGTTTTTGTATTTAGAACTACAGTATTAGGAGAACCTAAAACTAGGTTTTCCCCTGAATTAAAAAAATGAGAGGAAGGTAAGTTTCTCCAGACTAGTTCCTTGTCAACATCTCAAGGTCGTTTGGCTTGTTACATCAGGTGGTCAGAACTACACTCTCTGTTGTGTTTCTGTAGAACAGTATTCTGATTGCAGAACAAGGAAGCCCAAGAGCCGGCAGGAAGCAGGCACACAGGACTATAAAGTTCAGGGTGCAAGAACGGGAGAGGTCATAGAAACAGTTACCAGACTTGGGGGTCTAGGAGGAGACTTGAAGATTACCCAAGGACCAAATTCACCTTTTTGTGCCTCTTAGAGAATATAATAAAAGCTCTGGGTTCTTTTTACTAACCAGCTGGGAACTGATAGGCTCCTGGTGTAGAAAAATGAGTCTCCTTTATTTCACATGACCCATTTTAGGGGAAGAGGGAATTTTTCATAAAACAGGGGAAACAAGTCCAAGAAGCTTAAGTGACTGACCCAAGGCTCTTGCACAAGCTTCCTGCTCCTCAGTCCCAAGTCGAATCCTTGCTCCCAGAGTAACCCGGTCCAGTTTTTGGCGTTTGGGGGGCCTCACAGAGAGGATGGGGAGAAGGAAGGTGGGCGGGCTAGTTAATGGGAGAGACAGAACTAGAACCCGAGTCCTTATTCCCCAGCATCCTTCTGGTGGAGGAAATGCAGATCATGTGTTTCACGTGCTCATGTTATTACCTGTCCTTCCCTCTTTCTCCTCGCTCCTGCCCCTCCCCCAGTCCCTAGGGAGGACACAATAAATGCCTTGCAAGTGCTTCCCGCTGCCCCTTTCTGACCTGCACTCGGCCCATTCCACACCCACTCCTTGATAACTGTTTCTCATCCTGCCTGGGTACCTTTCCTGTCCAGATTACAATGCGAGACACTGGGAAGGCAGAGCAGTTAGACTCCCTTGCACTTTGGCCAGTATTAAAAATGCCAGAGTGGCCTTCCAGCACTTCCTGTCAGATGACACTCTCTGAGGCTCATGTGCACATGCGCATATCCTTTGTTCACTGAAAATGTATGAAAATTCTAGAAGCATGTTTGCACCTTACTGGAAGAGGAAACACAAATGCACCAACGGAATGTTGTAGAAAAATCATTGTGGGGGAGAGGCTCAGGCTCTCAAACATGGAAACTGGCTCAACTACTAATAAGATTTATTAATAATAAGTCTTATTTTGGGGCCAACTTGCAGATAAGAATGTGAGGGCCTTCAGAGTCACCAACAGAAAACAATCCTTCCTTTCGCCCAAATGGGCAACTGGACACACTCAAGTGCAAAGCTTTGGACCAAAAGAATATCCCCACCAGCAATAGGAAGTTCGAACTTTCCCCACAACCAGAAGGAGTTTGAAGCACCAGTGAACAAAACGTTAAAGACATTACAATGACTGACAATTAAAAGCTACTTTTCTTGAAATAAATTTGAGCTGATTTTTTCATGGTTTATACAGTTTGCCCCCGCTGGCAGAAGGCTCCTTGCAGAGGAGGATGGAATGCACCACAGCCATGTTTTCTAGAGGCTGCAACTCTTGGGAGAAGGAGCATCTGACGTGTTAGATGTAAAAGAAAAGAATGAGCCCGCCCACCTTCCTTCTCCCCATCCTCTCTGTGAGGCCCCCCAAACGCCAAAAACTGGACCGGGTTACTCTGGGAGCAAGGATTCGACTTGGGACTGAGGAGCAGGAAGCTTGTGCAAGAGCCAGGAACTACTGTCTTGGGTCACTATGAGCAAAAGAATTCCATTTATTAAAGTTTCAACAAAAACTGACTGAATAAAAGATAACAGGAGAAACAACCATGGAGGGCAAAGCAGTGTTCCCCTGAGTGATTCTGGAGCTTCCGTAAACGATGAAGTCAGTGCAGGAATTACGAGAGCCTTGCCCCCAAATTCCCATTTCGTTCCCAGGAAATGGATGTCCTCGTAGTGCAGCACTGACTTGTAAACATAAAATTTAACTTGGATGTGAAGGTTCTTTTCCAAACGGCTGGGGTTTCCCGTCTCTGAGCCCGAGGAGAGGGTCACACAACTCAAAAGGAGTTGAGATGTCAAATGTCTTTTGTCCTCATGTCCACGGGCTCCTGGGTGATAGGGGCTGCCTGAGTCTGAATCCAAATACACATCATCATCAAACTGGGGGCTCCTGCTTACAAATACCTGATATGATGAAGATGTGCCAACACCGCTCTCTACACTTGATCCCATGGTAGTAAACGGCAATCTCTTGTGCCACCAGGAATTCTTTGATCTGTCATTTGAGAGCCATTTTAGAAGGAAAATGGGCACACACATGGCACATGATGGAGTGAAGGGCAGAAGGCAACAAAGTGAACAGAGAGCCACAGCCTCTCCCACCAAGCTGGTCTAGGCAACTCTTAGGGTCTTCTCTTGGAGACCCACACAGAAGCTTACTTCCAAGTTCCAAGCTCACTTTTGCATTCCGAGTTCATGCTCCAAGATGCACACAAACAAATCCAGAATAAACTACTTCTCAATTGTTAGGAAACACCTGCTTATAAAGGTTGTATCCCAACCCAAACTTCCGTTCACAGCCCATATCTCCTGACATCTCTAACTGCACGTGGCAGGTCCTTTTCTCACCAAGTTTTTGTTAAGTTCTCTCTCCGTTCTCAGGCAGTCCAGCTTGGAGCAAACAGGGACCCAGAGCCAGCAGCAGGGGCCTGACCTCTCACCTTCCCCACACTGTCTGGTCATTTCCCAGGCCGTGAGTGGGTCAATGCCCTGAGCCTGTTGGCAAGACAACCACCCACTCCCAGGTGGCACTGGGCCCGTCCCCAGAATCCCACCCTTGCAACTGCCTAACAAGCAGCAGCAGGAGGCGGTGGGCTGGAGAGGCCCAGGAGGACTCCACCAGGGCAGGCCTGTCAGCCAAGGACACGTTTCCCTGCAGAAGAGAGGAGATGTTTTCATTTGGAGAAGGAGGGAGAATAATTTGTTCCTGACCCAGCTCATTAGAATACCCTCATTGGGGATCTCAATGTATTTAATTGAATTCACTGTAATATATGAAGAATCCACCACGGCACAAATCCCAGTGCAGCACTCAATAAAGGCGCTGACTCCTTTCAGAGTTCCTGTCCTCCTCGCCAGGCAGGAACATTTTCTCCCACGCGAGCCATCAACTCCTCAGCCCCTCGCCCCTCTGCCACAGAGCTCTCCCGGCCTTGGGAAAGGGGACCCAGGTTTTGTTTGCTTTTTCCATTCTTCTCTATTCTGTACTCAGGATTCTTCACTGCTCACCTCTATCAGGTCAGGTGGATGGTTTAAAAAAGAAAACAAAACAGCAAGTTCAAGTGCAGTGAGTGTGCTCCCAGAGATGGCGCTACCCATGGACCCAAAGCTGCCTGCTGAGCCCATCGCACAGGGTTTTTGGTTTGGGTTCAATTCCAAGTGTCTACAGCACACGAGACTCTATGCAAACACCCACACACATTGGATATGCCTTAGCTTAGGGCCTTGACCTGCGGATGATTGACAGTGGTGACCTGGAGGACATGCCAGGGGATACGAGAAGGCCAGCCCTTCAGCTTGAACACCACGGTGAGAATATACCAGCTGGGCCAGTGTAAGACCCCTGGCTCACTCAACAAGAACTGGCATCTACTCACAAACTGATAATGAGGGAGCAGCTTGACCAACTAGTAAATCAAGAAAGACAGAACCTCCCTAAAGAGAAGGGGCAACAAAGTCCACCCAGACTCACTTGTTTCAACCAGCCTTCCCTACAACCTTGAACGCACCAAAGGGTTTTTCCCCATCTCACCAGCTGGTTTAAAACATGCCTACAAAACACTGGGTTATCCGAACAGCAAACATACACTTGTTCCACTGGAAGGAATTTATGCACTTGGAAACGGGATTTACTTTTTGAAATTCAAAGTTGTACAGTGACCCGTATGAAGGATCAAAGTGTCCAGCTTGACTAGAACAGAAGGCGGAAAAAGAGCTCGACAATTTCCAGGTTCTCCCAAAGACCACAGACAGCAGACTGTCCTCACTGTGAGCAATTAGGAAGGGGACTTTCAGCACCATGTGAGCACCCTGGACTGGAAGTGAGTGACCATGGCCTCACTCCCCTTGGTCAGAGACCTTTTCCTGTACCTCCTTCTGAGCTTGCTGGGGCTATTTTCTTTTAAAATGCTTGTCTCATCTTGCTTTAGTGGGAAGGTGACCCTCCTGTGCCCTGACGTGGAAGCATGTCATGCCCCGTATCTTCCTTTCTGGGCCTGGTTCAGGGGAAGAACTCAGCAAAGAAAAGCCCT